AGGGCTGTCCCATCAAACCTGCCATGTCTGAAGGATCGGCGGCAGCGCCTCAAACCGCGTGTGAGGAGCTCGGGCCGGGTGTGTGGGAGCCCAGGGCCGACACCCACAGATCTCAGCGCCCTTGGAAAGTATTTCCCCACAAAACCCCGTCCCGGAGGGAGCAGAACCCCGAACCGCGTGTGCCACGTCAGCCCCAGGGCTCGGCCGGCCCGGGGCACCGGGAACGGTGATTCCTGCTTTATTAAAGCACGCCCGTTTATAAGGATTTTTGCAGCTTTGAGGGGTCTGCCACAGTTTAAACCACCTTTGGAGGCGTGTGGCTCCTTGAGGATAAATCCCACATCTCACAGATTATACCGGTCTGGAGAGGGGGGAGTGGTGTGGGAATTGCAAAATAAGGCAAAAATTCTTGCGGTTCTTCTGGAAATCCATGTGGAATAACTCATGGGAAAGGGGCCAAAGGACATAGCTAAGTCAATATTCCAAATTTCCGTGGTAATTTGCATCTTTGTGGGGCTCTGTTAAGGGTGGTGGGGTGGTAAGAGACTTCAGTTGGATCTTATGTTGGATTGTTGTTTCTCTGTCACTGAATTATAATAGAGTGACCCTGTAGGGAAGAGCAGGACATCCTGCTGGAGATCTGGAAATGCAGGAATGTCATAGCAGCTGTTATGGATATGGGGACTGATGTTCTCCTGTTCCCATTTCTGTAGTGCCTTATTTTGTGACCAATGAATGGTTCAGGCTGGAAGAGACCCTAAAGCCCAACTAGTTCCAGAAGAATTTAACAACCATCAATACTTTTTTTTTGTTTTGTTTTCTTATGCCACTGCTTGTCCAGCAAGTAGTTTTTTCTTATATTTACAAGCTTTTCATTTCAGTTGATGCCTGTGAATTCACATGTTGTGACACCATGAAAATCATGCCCACTGTCATCTCCAGACCAAGCTGAACAGCTGTTTTTTGTAGAAAAGCTGTTCTGTGCTTTTCATAACCTTCACCTTGATTTCTGTTTTTAAATGAAGTTACTTTGTAGGTGCACATGAGGTGAGAGCATAGCTTGCTTCCTGCTGAGGAGCTGGTGGTCAGGGATGGGCTGTCTGCTCTGACACTGTGTTGCTGATTCCTGTGCTCTTCTAAAAAGTGCATTTCAGTAAAAGAAGCAGAAAAGTGAGGTGCTGAGGAATGATTTCGTGTCTGTTACCTGACTTCTCTGTTCATTTTGTTTTTATGTCCTTATAGGCAGGTCCATGAGGTCCAGTCTTACATGGGGCACCTGGAAACTTCAGACAAAGAGTCAGTGCACTGTAAGTAATGAGGGAGGTTGATTTAGTTTGCATCTTTAACCTTGTATGCCTTCTCATTAAATTTACAGTCATTATTGGAACAAATTTAGCTCCTAAGCCATTGTGATCAGCTGCTGAGACACGTCACCAATTCAGAATGCATTGAAATTGTGTTGCTGTTTAACTTCAATAAGGTGGTGTTTGTATGAGCTCAGACCAAAAAAGACAGGACAAGAATTTGTTTCATCTTCCTGTTATAATCCTTTAACTGTCACAGAGTGCTTGCTGTGGATACTTCTTTACTGTTGTAGAATGCCAGAGTTTTGGTGCTGTTAGATTTTGGAACTCATGGTCAGGGTGTCTGTGCAGGCCTTCAGCACAAACAGATCAAAGCCCCCACAGTGATGCACTCGTGGAGGTTTTTGAACACCTGGAATTAATGAACACCTTGGTGTGGTGTTCAAGAGCTGCAGACTGAGAGCGTCTCTGGGCTGGTTTGTGAGAAGCTGAGAAAGCTGAGATGTGTCTGAGCCTGCCCTGCCGTGGTGTTATTCCCTCAGCATCCACCAACTGGCAGCTTTCCCCTAAAGATGCTCAGTGCACTTTTGGGGAAGGTGCTGTGATTTTGTGTGCAGGAACTTCAGCAGGATGCTCCTGACATTGGTGCTACATTAGAGTCAGAACCTGTGATTCCACCTTGTAGGAAGTGTGTAGAACCATTGGGTGTGAAGTTGCCTCAGTAAATTTGGACTATAACCCTGTGCTCATAAGTGACTGTAATAATGAGATGCTCTGATATGTGTGGCAGGACTTTTTACCCCAGTGTAGAATTGGCACATGTATTTGGGACCTATGTTTGAACCCTTAATTCTTGCATGAGTCACTACTAATGGGTTTAATCAGGAACTTCTGAGGTGAAAGGACACTGCATTGACTGGATGTATTTCTGCACATGCTCCCTGACTTCTCTTACCTTAAACTTATTTGTGAAACATGACTGGGCTCTAGGAAGGGCTGTGATAAACTTCTTATCGCAAAATAGTAACTTACTAATTCTGGTTGTGGTTTTTGTGGTGGCTGTATTACTCCTACAATGCCAGACTTCCCAGGCTGCTGTTCACTGGGGGTGATTTTGAAAGCCCTGAAAATTAGTATAATTTGCCATTTTGCTTCTATTGCTTGAGACCATTTCAAGAGATAGCATTGTGTAGTTTCCATAGTTTACAGTTGGTTCATCAGTTAACATAAATGAATAAACGTATGTATCTCTATCTCTCTATATAAAGTTACTAGTGTGTATTTCAGAATTTATGGAAAATAGGATTATCCATGGTTGAAGAGGAGGAATAGGGGCCAGGAAATCAAACTTGCATTTTTTTGCCTTTTCCAACTTGGAGCAAATAGTCCCTTCTTGCTCAGAAAAATGTCTAGTGGTGTAGTTTGGTCTGACAAAAGTTTCTGTAACTGTTAGCTCTGCTGTGTTGGATTCAGCTGCAGGAAATGATGGAGAGCTGCATCAGGACAATTTCAGTCATTTGTCTCTGGATGTGAGCCAGTCACTCTTTTGCTTTGTGAGCTCCAGGGGCAAAGACGAGGTCGTGTGTGCTCTTTGCTTCTCTGGGTGTTCCTGGGAAGTGGTTTTCTGGGAAGTCCTGGTGTGTGGAGTACTTGGCAGGTGGTTGATGATGCTTCCTGTTCCTGTGACAGCAAATCCTACTGAGGGAGCAGGAAGGGGCTGCAGGGGGAATGTGTGGGTTTGAAATCCTAATTCATGGAGCTGATGGGAAAAGAGGCTCAGATGTCTGGAACGAGCAGGGGCTTTCCTAGCTGCCTTCTCAGAGGAGGAGGGAAAGGTGAGAGTGTCAAATCACTGACCTAAAGAAGTGACATTTCATTGTATTTATAATTCTCAGTTACCTGATTATTTTCATCCAGTAAAGATTTGCATCTGCCAGGTTTTGCATATTCCTTTGAATGCTTTTGAGTGTTTGCCTTCATCAGATTGCAGTTGTCTAATTCAAGTCAAATCCTGTTTTTATTTCCTTGCAGTGGTAGAAAATGAGATTCAGGCAAGAATAGACAACATATTCAGCAACTTGGAACGTCTGGAAATCCTGTCCAGCAAAGAACCTCCCAACAAGAGGCAGAGTGCCAAACTGTGAGTTCACTGCTTTGCTGTGATTGTGCAGGGTAATCTTTGTAATTAGTTTAATTAAATTTACTGAAACCCTTTGCCTTTTGATTTGTGTGAAATCTTTATACTTTGTATAACTGATTTCTGTGCAATACAGTAGCAAAATTGAGGCACAGAGGCAAAATCACTTTCCTGCATTCAACCCCAGGCTCATGAGAATCATTAAAGCTGGAAAAGGCCTCAAAGATCATCAGGTCCAGACTGGTGATGCAGCTGGATTCATGCTTTGTTCTCAGATGAGCAGAACATCTCTGGATGCTCTCTCTGATACTTGGTTTTAATGGCATTTTGGTGGTAGAGAGTAAAATTTCTTCATTTGGTGTCATTTTCTCTGGGCCATTTTCTAAGATGTTGTTGACTGAAATAAAGAGGTTTCTAAAGTGAGCAATAGTTTGAGCAAGAGGTTGGACCACAGACATTAGGACTTGCTGCTCTTAATTAATTCTGTGACTCAGTTATTAATGTTTAGTCCAAAAAAGTACTTGTAAATAGTAGGGGTGGATTTCATGTCACCTGTATTAAAGAAAGAGGCCAGTATCTGAAATAGTCATTGATTTCTTTATAGAATCCTGGAATAGTTTCGTTTGGAAGGGGCCTTAAAGATGGGTTCCAGCCCCTCCATGGGCAGGGACACCTTCTACTAGACCAGGATAGTCTGGTGATCAAACATTAAATTTTATCAATCATTTAATCAGTGTAGTTCTGGACATTATTTGTTTCAGCCCAGTAGAGATGTCAGAGCTGTCTCCTGTATTACCCAGTGACTTTTGAGCTCTTTTTAATAAAACCTCAAAGTTCAGAACATTTTGCTAATTAAAGAAACTGGAAAGCATAATCTTTAATGTGAAAGGGGAGGGTCAGAAAATAGAACCTGTACAAATGCTACCATCTTCCCAAATCTGTGTTAAATGAGTAATGGATACAGTTACATAACACCTGAAGAGAAAATCCATGGGATAGGATGTCCAAGACAGCTCAGGAGTTCTGCTTCACATTCTGTCATTAGCCTGAAGGCTAAATAATTGATTAAAGTGAATAATCACTTGTGTAGTAGAAAATTGAGACAGGGAGGTTGTAGGTGTTGAATTTCAGCCTAGCATTGGATGTCTTGCATCTTGTAGTGAAGTAGAGCCCATCGTTCCTTGTTATTCATTGCTGTTAATTTGCAGTGCTCTTTTGCTGGAACAAAAAGCACAGAAAAGCAGAGTGTTTTTGTGCTGCTCTTTGCAGGAGAGTGGACCAGCTGAAATACGATGTGCAGCACCTGCAGACAGCCCTGAGGAACTTCCAGCACCGCCGGTACCTGCGGGAGCAGCAGGAGCGGCAGCGCGAGGAGCTGCTGGCCCGCACCTTCACCACCAACGTAAATATCCCTGCTGGGGCTCCCTGTGCTCCAGCAGCTCAATTCCAGCAGGGGGGAGGCAGGCAGCGTGTAAACAGGACTCTTGGAAGCTGCTGAGAGTGTGAGTAAAGGTAGAGAGGAATCAAAATATGTGGGGAGAAAGTACCGCTCCCTTGAGGAAAAGATGGGCTCTTAAGATAACAGGAAAAGGCTCCAGAATGCTCCTCTTTTATTCAGTGCAATCCAAAGGGTCAGTGAGGTAGGTACCAAAGTGTCCATTTCACTTGGATTTGTGTCAAATGTCTACCAGATCCTGAGATCTGTAAAAAGCCTGACTTATACACACCCCAGCAGCAGGTGTCAGCAAACTTCAGTGCAGCCAAACAGAAATCACACAGCTGGGACAAAGCCCTTGTGTTTATGCCTAAAAATGAGTCAAAAGTTCCTAATAACATGAATGTGTTTCACTTGCTCTTGTTAGCTCCTCCATTGGGAAGTCCGTCCAGTGCAAATTGCAGGAGGAATTTTGCTCTGAATAACGTAGGCTTGCTTTCAGATTTCACTTTTCTGCCACTGAAAAGTTAGTCTTGGGGTTTTTTTGGGTGTGGTTTTTTTTTTTTATTTTGTTTGAGTTTTTTTGTTATGTTTTTTGTTTGGTTTGGTTTTTATTTTTTTGGCTTTTTAATACTATTTTTACATTTTTGTTTAATTTCCCTCTTTATTTCCCTTCTTTGTTAAAGGCATCTCACCTAACATTTTGTCAGTCATTGTCAGGACAAGAAAGAAAGAAAGTGAGCAATCCTAATTAACTGAAATTTGGGCAGTTTAATGCATTTTTCAAAGCCTGCCATAAAGATAACGTCTGGTATTTTGTTAGCTATTTCAAAATTATAAACAAGGCTTGAAATGCTGCAATTTGTTGTTTTTAAACACTGTGGTGTTTCCCTGCAAGTAGGGACAAGTTTTTCTTCAGGAAAATTTGCAGTTCAGAAACAAAAACTGTGTGAGTGGAACAGTTTTAAAGAGCAGTAGCAGGCTTACAGCATGCTAACCCATGGGCAAATAGGTTATTTTCTCCTTCAGGGGTTGAGAGGTATGGTAGATGAAAAAAATAATACAAAGTATGTATTTCTTTTTAACTTGCTACAAAAATGTAGCTTTAAAATGGTCCTTTAATAGGAAATTGATGATTTATTTATCACTTATCAGCCTCTCTAGGTTTCAGTTTTCCACAGTTCCTGTTCATACACTCCCCTATTCTATCAGAGATGTCAGCTGAGTGTCTGAGTAAATCACTTCAACTTCCAGAACACATCTTTAGGAACACATCTGTAGCAGTGTTCTGAACAATTTGCTTAATTCAAGAGTTAAAAATGGTATTTATCTTTAAAGCCTTTCCTGTACCTGGAGAAAATCACAAGCAGCAAAACAGAGCTCTGCTGCCATCCCGTCTCCTCGAGGAGGGTCACAAATCTACTTCTCTATTTTTATCGCTGCCTTAGAGTGGATAAAAAAAACTTTGTACAGAAATGAAATCTGCTGGTTTGAAGGCTGTTAAATAACTGGAATAAGAGCCATTCACATGGAAATCTAAGTGCTTCTGCTCAGAAACTTGTGTGAGCCTTGGTGCTGTGTTCACAGGGGCTCAGGTTTGTATGTTCTGCCACAGCCCCTTCATCCAGGGCCCCTGAGAGCTCTGTCCCTGATTCTTCCTTCTCCAGAGTGAGCAGACCCCCTGCCTAGGCAGGGCAACACCAGACCTTGGGTCCTGTGTGGCATTTTCAGATGAACATTTGGGGTTTTTACCAAATGTTCAGGGCACATTGTGCTGTATGTGTGTGCCACCTGCAGCTGCTGGGCACACCGAGTGCCATTCATTCACATGACTGTGAATTCTGCCTTTGGCTGGTTCTTGTTCTGAGCACCTGGAGGAGGTGATCAGTGTTCCCAACACTTGCCCCTTACCAGTCCCCAGTTCCTGCTCTAAACCATGTGGGAGTAGTGAGCCATTTCCTTGCCCCTCTGGATGGAGTGGTGTCCAGAAACAGGGACCTGGAGGCCTTTGGCAGACAGGGGTGATCCCATCCCTGCTCTCCTGTGTAGTTCAGGTTAGAGTTTTACCCTGTTATTTCCAGTTCAAGATTCCCAGTTCCTAGTTGAGTGAATGCATCTTTTCTGGAAAAACATGAAAAAATACTAATTTTTAATTTATTTTTTTTTAAATAGGGCCTTGGGTGATGAGTGAGCCAGAGCTCAGGGAGCCAGGCCCATGTCTGTTTGGCCTTACTGCCAGATATTTGTACTATTTTGTAAATGTTTAGAATGTCATCTCCAAACATTTTTTCAGGCTTTTTGTTGCTCAGAAATGTGGTGTGAAATCTTCCACAAGTCCTTCACTTGCAGTGATCAATGACTAAGCACCTTCTTGGTGTTTGACACCTTGTTAAAGACCTTCTGTTAGCTTTGATGTTCTCTTCTGCAGTACCCTTTCCTACTGAGATTATAAAAATTCTCTGCTTTTGCTCTTTTCATCCTTGAGATCTCATTACAGTTGAGCAGCTGCTCAGCTTTGCCTTTTGGCTTCCTCCGTATCTTCTCTAAATTACTCTTTTCACTCAAATATCAATGTTTTATTTAAAATCACCATGAAAAAAAAAAGCGTAAGCACAGTCCTGGCAGTCCTGTTGGGTTCTGGCCGTGGCTGCTGGTGCATGTTGTGTTTCTGAGTGAGCAGGTAACCGAGTCCCTGCTTTCCCCACAGGACTCTGACACCACCATCCCGATCGACGAAACCTTGCAGTTTAATGAATCCCTGCAGAGTGCCCACCGAGGCATGGATGAGCTTATTGGCAGTGGCACCAACATCCTGGCGGGGCTGAGGGACCAGAGAGTCACATTAAAGGTGGGGGCATCATTTTTTACCAGAAAGACCCCACATTTTTCTGTGTTCATGCTGATCGGGCTAAGTAGAATCTATATATGTATTGTCTCAGTACATTGCTCTGAGCTGAGGATGCTGGAAAGGCCCAAACTTCATTTAAACAACTTGAAATCTTTATATTTTACCATCTGTTAGGAGTGCTTTAAAGATCTCTTGGGGCTGGCTGGCCTTCATCTGCAGGGCAGCATCTGGAGTGCTGAATGTTATGTTTGTTTTTATTTGGTTGATTGTTGCTTGTTTGTTCAGGTTCAGGACGGGCAGTCACCGGCTGGCAGGAAGATGTTGGTTCAGATTAGCATCACTCAGAGCAGCCACAAAGCTGCTGTAGAGCACTTGTGATTAAGATTAGTAATAAAGATAATGCACCTCAACAGTCCCTCCTTCTCTGCTGACAGCAGCTGCATTTCTGCATGTCTCTTCATAGCAAATATTTGTCTTTTATTTTGTAGACTGTTGAAAGTGATGGTCAATTCTGAGTGAAAAGCTCAAGGATACAAAAAACTTTTTAATAAGAACTGTGTGGGGAGAAACTGGACTTGTGAAAAAGGCAGGGAAATGCTCATTGTGTTCATCTTCAGATGGGGATAACTGCTGTTCTCAGTTTTGTGACACTGTTTTGTTTTCAGATGTATTTGCCAGATTTAGGCATTTTTAATGACATAAATTCCAGATTTGGTCAGGTCTGTCACACGTGCAGCTCCATGGTGTGGCAGGCAGTGCAAGCCTGGTCTGCACTGAGGGAGCTGAGCTGGGTGTGCATGGGCACTTTGCTGTCCTGACCCAGGGTTCCAGGCTGCCTGGTGTTCTCTGAGCCTGCACAGGACCAGCACAGGTCCAAAGCAGGCTGCAGCTCCTTCCCTGCTCCCTACTCTGGTGACCAGGCCCTGCACCCACAGATCTTACGTGGAGAAATCAAAGCAGAGTTTGAAGCTGAGTTCTTCCCAAGATGAGGTTTAGCTTCTGGTTCAGCTCACTTGTTCACTGACCTGGTAAGCATGGATTTGTTTTAAGACTAGGCTCATTACTAGAAAAACCATGAAGAAAACTTAGTGGGTGGTTCAGTGTTCATTGCAGAGGAATGGTGTTACTGAGCAGTCTGGCCACAGGAGTGGTGGGGAGAGGGAGAGGTTCTGCTGCCAGCTCATGAGGAAAAGGCTGGAAGGACTCATTCCTAGTGCCTGGAGGAGATTGGGGTTCTGAATGCTTTTTGGGAAGAGCACCCTACTTGAAGTTCCTGCATCCCTGAGAGGATTGTAAACATTTGTCTGCTGTGTTGAGCACTGGGCTGCTTTGGTGACTATTCACATTGGCCTGAACTGTCCAATCATCAGTGTCCCTGTGCTGCACACAGGGAATTGGGGTTGATTCTCCGAGCTGGGAAATCACTGATCCAAGGTAATCTCTCATGAGGGACTGGATGAAGCACATGGATTCTGGAGGGTTCCTGAGAAGAAGGTGCATCCCAGCACAGGAGAGCTCACAGGTGCCACAGAGGAGCCCTGGCAGGACCTGGTGCCCTGCAGGGATGGGGAAATGCTGTTTCTTGTAGCAGCACCAGCCTTTGCTGCCTGGCTGGCAGTGACTGCCTGGGTCCTGCTGGGTCTCCCTGGGCCTCCTGGCTCTTCTCCAGCCTTTGCCAGGCACGTGAGCTCTGGGCCAGCCCTGCAGCAGGGAGTTGCTGGCTCTGTGCTTTTGGGGCCATCATGTTCCTGGGTGTTCAGGGGCATGTTGTTTCTCCCTCACGGGTGAAGAGATGTCTGCTCATGTTCCTTTTCCCCTTAACTCGGTTTTTCTTACACTGACACAGACTTTGCTGCCTGAGAACATCTGGCAGAAACAGCTGGTGTAGAGACAGCTTACAAAGAGAAATGGGTTAATGTGTGATCATGGAACATGCCATGTTGGAAGGGCCTCCCAAGGATCGTTGAGTCCAGCTCCTGGCCCTGCAGACACCCCAACAAACCCACCCTGTGCATCTCTGGGAGCATTGTCCAAATACTCCTGGAGCTCTGGCAGCCTCCAGGAATGACCATTCCCCGGGGAGCCTGGGCAGTGCCAGCACCCACTGCAGGGAGATGATTTTCCTGATATCCAGCCCAACCCTCCCCATGCCCAGCTCAGCCATTCCCTGGCTCCTGTCCCTGTCACAGAGCAGAGATTGGAGCTGCCCCTCAGGAGGAGCTGCAGCCCCTGGGGAGGTCTGGCCTCAGTCTCTTCTGCTCCAGCTGAACAAGTGCTCCTCCTGTGGCCCCTCCAGATCCTTCCCCACCCTTGTATCCCTCCTTTGCACACTAATAGCTTTATTCTCTGTAACTTTGTGTATATTGGGTATAAATAGACAGGTATGGAATGAGTATTGCTAGATTGTCCCTTTAACTGATCCAGTTGTACAATTCCACTGTTCCATGACTGCAGGAATTGAAGAGTTTTTCCTTTCTATTGTTTGCTTTCATTTTAAAGCTTCATATTTGGTTTCTGTTCTCCCAGCAAGGTTTGGTTTTGTTCTGAAGCACTGTGAAAGGATTCTGCAGAGACAGGGAGGTGCTGAGCCTGAGAGCAGTGTGCAGGGTGTTAATAGGAGGTGTGGGAGCTGGAGAAAACTGGTTACTTGGGACTAGCAGAGACACACCCGATGTCAGTGAGGGACTTGAACTGCCTTGAATTGACACAAGGCACTGATGTAGTTTGGCATTGCAAATCTCTGTTTTATGGACTGAGAAACTTCTGCATGTGAGTCTAATAAGTTGGTCTAAATTCTCTCCTTGGAGAGCCTTTCTGATGTTTAGTCAGGTTAGTACTCAAAAAAATCCCTATTTTCACATTTTCACTCTTTTGAGACCAAAAATAATGTGGACTAAAGAAGAGAGGCTGAAGTTTTTATTTCAAAGTCAAACATGGGATTCAGCAGTGTGATGGGAATCTGTGCTGTTGACCTGGCTCAGAGATGAAGGCAGTTTACAGCATCCTTAAGTGGGGTGTTCTCTCAGGGACAGCTCAGCTGTCACCGTGAGGGACTGTCCATTGTCCCTGGTGTGGCAGGGCCCTCCTGGCAGTTGCCCTGTGCACACCTGGGTGTGAGGAGGGTCCTGGCCAGTGTCTGGCTGTGGCTCAGTGCTCTGCCTCCCACAGGTGGGTCACCATGTCCAGCTTTCCAGGAAGGGTCCTTCTCACCTCCTATGCCACCAGGACTCTGCAGCCCTGAGTCCTCTCCCTTCTCCTCACTCAGGGCAATATCCCACCCTGACCTGTGCCTGGAGCACATATCTGTGCCTGTATTTCATACTGTTTCCTCCAACCACTGCCCTGAAATAAAGCAGGAGGGTTCCTGTTGTGTCCCTGCTGCTGATCTATTGGTGGGATCCATATTCCTAATAATATCAGGTGTCCTGCCTTCAGCACCCTGTGCTTTTCTGTGGAAGGATCTCAGGGAATGGCATTAATTACACATTTATCTGCCTTTTTTCTGCTATTTACTTTGCCTAGTGTCTGGACCTTCTCAGTCTGAACTCTACAGTTCAGTTGGTATGAACTACACTTTAGCAAGGGGAGCTCTACATAAAACCTTGGCTGGTCTTTTTAGACTGTGACTGGAACAGGACCAGCAGAACTCTTACTCCTCCCAAAGGAGTGCATTTTTCTGAGACACTTTTTATCTTGTCTCTGTCCAGACAGATTGTTTTGTCTTTAACTGCATTCCTGTTCATGTGTATGAATTAATTAGTCCAATCACCCAGTTGTTTCCAGGGTCCCGTGGCCACCTCCTGTGGAATGGTAGGGATGGTTGGCTGAGAGAAGTTCCATGGATTAGAATCCATCACTCAGCACCAATGATGAAGTACCCTTGGACTGTGGAATAGGAAGGCTCAGAGCATGAGGGTGATTGTGTCTTTGCTGTGTTGTTGTCCTCAGGGCACTCACAAGAAGATCCTGGACGTTGCCAACATGCTGGGCCTGTCCAACACGGTGATGCGGCTGATCGAGAAACGCGCCTTCCAGGACAAGTTCCTCATGCTGGGGGGCATGGCCGTGACCTGCCTCATCATGTTCCTTGTTGTGCAGTACCTGACATGAGCTGCTCACCTCCTGCAAGAGGACTGTCTCCAGAACTGACTTTCCTCTGGGTGCTGCTTTGGATGAGCCCTTCCCGTGGACTTCAGAGTTTACAAATCCCACTTGGACAGTGTCACGTGGAAGGCACGTCGGGAAATGGATGTGTCTGGGGATGCTGTGCTTGAGAATGGCCCTGTGAAAATAACCCTTGGCCTTTACTGCTCTCCCCTCAAGCCTGCAGGTTTAATGGTCTGATTAATAGGAAGCAGAAGTGAAGATTGTGCCCAGCTGTAGCAAGGCAGGAATGTCCCTTTGGGCACACAGGGATGGGAGGATGCAAAGGCACAGCCTGGGATGCAGCGAGTCTTTCCTGTGCTGGCCAGCACTGACCTGACCCCTGCATTTTACAGTGCAAGAATGGCACAGAGAATTTCACAGTGTTCATGGACCTGAGTTCGGCCTGTGGGACTGAGTTTGCAAAAAGATTTGGGAAGTGAAGGGCTCCCATCTGCTGTTCCATTTGCTTGGAGGAGGAGGATGTGTGGGAAGACTTAGAACACGGTTATAACCTCAGTTACCTTCACACACAGTATTACCCAGCACAGATCTCTGGTTTAGACTGAAATGCTGCTCTGCTCCTCTGAGGGGTGTTCTGGTCTCTCTCTGCCCTGCTGCTTCCCAGGGGGTGCTGAGTGCCATGCTCCCTCCTGCTTCCACTGGGATGCACGTCAGGCCTGTGGTATCTCCCCAGGCCTCCTGCCAAATCCAGCCTCCAAAACTGACATTTCTAATGCCAGAGCACAAAGGTTTGGGGAGCTGTGTTAATTTCCTGAGGTGCTGGTTGGGTTTGGGGCTCTGGAGCTGGAACTTCTGAGTGGATGGAGCAGGTGAGTCCCCCTGTACTCCCTGGAGGTGTGGGATTATTCACAGAGCTGGAATGAGTTCTTCACACCAGAGGAATGGTGGGATCAGCACAACAGGCCCTGGCACTGAAAAATCAGCTTGGTCAGAGAGTTTCCTCAAGTCTGTGCCTTGGGATGGAGATGTCCCCACCCTTGGGAAGGGCATTCCCCTTTGTACCTGTGGAGTCCTGTGAAGGACACTCAGATGTGCCACCTCCTGGGGGTGGTGCTGGCTCACACTCATCACCTTGGGGTCATTCCCTGCCCCCAGTGAAACACTGGAGCTGTGAAATCCTTGTCTCAGCCTGGCACCACCCCCCCTGCAGCCTGGGGGTGTCTGATAGAGGGGCCATCCTGGCATTGTAGGCATCATCCATTTCAGTCACCCCACAGATCCTTTCCTATCCCCATGTGTAGCAAGTCTGGAGCATTCCCTGATGTCTGACAGTGGCACAGAAGTGTCATACCCTGATAATGTGGCCTTGTGCTGGCAATTCCTTCCCTGTCTGGAATAGTTGTGGGTCTCTGGATTAGTAACTAATCAGAAGCTCTACACTTGCTGAGTGCACTGGGCTTTGCTTTCAATATGTGATCTGTTGCAAACTGGGAGGAAGGGTTTTAATAATTGAAAAAAAAATTAGAAGTAATTTGAGGGAATATGGACCATGAGACAGGGCCATGCTGGTGACCAGAGCTGGGGTGGGGCCCAGCCAGACACCCAGAATGGCCCCTGTTTATGGGCTTCTCTATTTATTTGATATTTCTGAAGTGTTTCCTGCTCTTGGAGTTCTGTTTGTCCAGGTTTTCCAAGGAAATAGTGTAGCAGAGCAAACATGGAACTGGTTTTCATTTGAGCCCAAGGAAGTAAGGAATTAAAAGGAAAAGAGGGTGATGGAGCATCTGTTTTGCTGTGTAGTAGGAATCATAAATCCCAATTTGCCCGAAATTTAATTTGGATATGAAATCTGATGGATTCAGCCCTTGAGATGGCAGCTGAGCACTTGCAAGGGGTCCTGGCAAATCTCAGTTCTGATGAACTGATCCATTTCCACTGCATTTTACAGTGTTGGGGTTTAGGGTTTAAGGCTGTCATTGTCTAAAGTTTCTTTAGTTGTGACCTGGTGTAGGAGAGTTTCTCTTACACCAGGGTGGGCCTCTGGCCAATCTCTTTCCTTTTGGGCTGTGGTAGGAGCCATAAGATACTTGGAACTGGATTTTTTTTTCCTGTTTCTGAGCCTAGCTTGGCATTTTAATAGATGCTTTCCTGTTGATTTTGCCTTCTGAAGTCTTGTCCCTGCACAGGCTGGTTTCCCCTTGGTGAGCCAAGTGTCCTTGCTACCCATGACACCCAAAGGTGACACAGGGGGCTTGAAGGAACCACCTGGGGAACTGGATCTGGGGACATGTGACATCAGACACGTTTGTGGTGCCTGTAAATCCACAGAGATTCCAAGGCCAGCTCAGGTGGTTTGTGTGATACCCAAAAACCTGCATGGCAGTGGGACATGGCAGGGACATGGGTAGTTCCTTCAAGCCCCACATCTCCCCTTTGGATGCAGTGGAAAATGAGCTGGAGCCCTGGTGGGATTGTGGTCTCTGCCAAAGGAGATGAGCTGGAGCTCTGGAGGCTTTGCTGCTGCAGCTTGGTGGTGTTTCCTTCATCACCAAACACTCACTTCTGCTTCCAAACTGTGGCATGAGTTCCAGCTCTGGGGTGAGCTGGTCTCAGGAGGGGACTCTGGGAATTCACTTGTCTCTGGAATAAAACTTTTTACCAGTATTTTATACATAAAGGAGCAAGGGTGGGACATGATTCATGTGATGTTCTGTGAATAAAGATTTTTTTTCAACCAAAATGAAGGTTTTGGTGTTTTTTTACCTTAGCCAATATAATAAACAAGCAGGACCAGCTCCTGGTTCAGTGTGGATGGAGGAGGGGGCTGCAGGGGAGAGGGCCACGGAGCTGCTGTGGGGGGCTCCCATTTGAGTCACAGTGGGAAATGGGTCCCACTGCACGGGGGTTGGAAGGAGCAGGAGCCTGTGCTGGGTCTCACTGGTCAGTCTGGTGGGATGTGCCAGGCTGGGGCAGCCCCAGAGCTGGTGGTGGAAGGGAATGGAAATGGGTGGGTGATGGAACAGGAGTGGGGGGCAGCTGGGGGCACATCCAGGCCCCTGCTGTGCTCTGCCCACTCCCCCTTAGGGCCTGAGAGGGGCCAGACCTTCCTCTCCCTGTCTACCTGGCAGTGATGCAGCTCAGGGGGTTCTAATTAGGAGAAGTGGAAGAAGAGCTTGGAGAGCAAAATGTGGTTGTTGATAAAGAGATTGTGGGTTTAAAATGTGAGATCAAGGGGTTGGGTTTCCTTATTCTTGCTCTTAAATTCTGTTTTGAAGTAATTCCAGTCCCCACAGCTACAAAACACTTACTAAATCAGAAAATACCCAGCAAAGAATGCAGAAAGCTGTCAGTGCTAGATGTATGAACTTGATGCAGAGGTGGGACCAGCCCATGGCAGTGCTGGGATGGGGCTGCACTGGATGCTATCCAGGCTGGGCCCCTGAGGGGCTTTGACACTGTGAGCAGCAGCTGGAAATGGGACTGATGCTTCAGGAGGGTGTTTGAGTGTGACTGGGCATGTGGAAGAAATGTCCTGGTTTCACCTGGGATTGAGTTAATTTTCTCCCCAGCAGCTGTTCCTAGGGCTGTGTTTGGGATTCAGTATGGAAATAATGTTGATAACACAGCAATGGTTTGTGTTTACTCTAAATTAAGGACTTTTCAGTTTCCCAGGCTCTGCAAAGGCTCAAGAAGCTGGGAGGGAGCAGGGCCAGGACATGTGACCTGAACTGGCCAAAGCAATATTCCAAACCACAGAGAGTCATTCCAAGCATATAAACTGGGAATGATGGCCTGGGAGGGGTCAGAGGGTGGTGAACAACTGTACTGGCCAGCACTTGTCTGTCTTGGCTTTTTTGTCTCCCCCTCTCCCTCCCACGTTATTTTTTTATTATTATTTATACCTAACTTTATTTCAATTATTAAACTGTTCTTATCTCAACCCCCAAGTTTTACTTTTCCCTCTGCCCCAATTCCCCCATCTCCCTTCGTGGGGGGCAGTGAGCTGTGATGTTTAGTTGCTGGCTGGGGTTAAATCTGAGAGGGAAAGGTTTTTAAACAAACTAAACCTCTTAAAAAGCAGTGAAATGAGCACTTAAAAGCAGTGAAAAGGGGGGTAAGGTATGTGCAGAATAGAGGGGGAGATAATGAGTGATAAGAGATTATGATTGTGTGGGACATAATTAATTTAGAAGGAAGATAGTGTAGATAAGTACCAGAGGATGTTTGTACTTGGCCCAAAGCCTGCTCTGTGTCTGCCTCTCCCTGTTCACTCTTCCTCAGGTTAACCCCGGAATGTCAGCACAAGGGATGTGTTAAAAATCAACCTTCTTTAGAAGCCCATAGTAACACTGCCCAGGGCTGGAAGTCTCAGCTGGAGGAGGAAAATATCTCTTCCCAGGTATTATGTGTGTTTTGGATAATTTGTGCCTATAAAGAGAAATATATATAAAATATGTTATGTTGGCAAGAAATATTCTTATAAGGTTTGAAGCATGCAAGCCAGAGTCAGGGATTGCCTCACATATGTCGAAGCCACAGCTGACAAGAGGGAGAAGGGCTTCATTTGCAAATGAATAAACCTATCTCTATGGAGATGGGTCCTTCTCCAAGGTGATCCGAGGAACTCCCAATGATGAGTACTCGATGAATATATAAGATTGAGATACCCAGAACCATCAGGAAGACACATCTCAATGCTGAGTTCCAGTAGCTCGATGATTGGCATACATCACTTCCCAGACACGGTTTTGTTCAGCTCTACTCTACGCAGAGAAAAGAGACTACATGAATGTGAACTTCTGAAAAGAAAGAAAACCCTGCCTCAGGCAGAATAGAGGGTGTAAGAGCTGCTCAGACAGAACAGTCAGTGTGAACAGAGGAGACCCTATGCTGTAGAGGCTGGACCGGTGTTTCCCCCAGCACTGATCCCGGGCTCAGCACTGTCCTTATGATTGTGGCTGTCTTAGACCGAATCGTTATCGCAAAATAAAAATCTATTCATTATTCATTTGGCTCGATCATTTTTACGTGTAACAGCCGGCCATAAAAGGTGAACGAGCTGTGGTTCCCCAGCCCCAGGTAAAGTAGTGCTCTGGCCCACAAATCCTACAAACGCTGCTGTCAAAGCAGAAACAATCACAGCTGGTGTTTGTCACCACTTTCATTCCAAGTGACAAAAAAGATATGAAGGTGAAAAGGAGAAGTTCCCATGTCAGCACTTATTGACTCTGTAATCTATGTTATGGAGTAATGCATATGTAAAATATATATATGTAATAAATGATGCTTGTACAAAAAAATCTTCAAGTTTTAAATCACAAGCTGCAGCCGGGCCGTCTCTGTGCTTCTTTCCTGGGCCATCTATACATCAGGAACATGCATCTCAATACCAGGTTCCCTTAACTCAAGATCAGCATTCATCACTTCCCAGAAACAGCTTTGTCCAGCTCAGGACAGAGAAAAGGATACCCATGAATACGTGAAGCAAAGAGAAGAACAGGAGAACCTCTGCCCCAGACAGAAAAAACTGTATAAAAACTGACGACAGAGACAGCATTTGTGAACAGAGGAGATCTGATGCTGAAGAGGTCGTACCCGTGTTCACCCAGCTCAGCACTGCCTTTCTGATTGTGGCTATCCATCACCAAATCTTGGTTGCAAAATAAAAACTTATTTTATTAATTATTAATTTGGCTTGATCATTTTTACCTATTACAACTCCAAAGAAAAGCAGTCTGAGGGCATTTAAAACATTTTTATTCTAAATTTCCAACTAGAACCTTAACATAAATTGACAGAACTTTAGAAGAATCCTAATTTTGCACATTCCAGTCAACATGTAGCATTTTCTAGTGTTAGTATACAGATAGATGGTGGATATCCAGTCTTTAGGGGAAAATTAGAAGGAATTAATCTCTTTGTAGACAAACACCATGTCTGGCTTCTTAATTCTTTATGGTTGTATCTTTAGATCCCGTTTTGTACTTTGCATATTTAGAAATATACTGCTTGATCTGAACATTTTCAGTCCTAAACATGCATTTTTACTGAATTAAACCATTCCTACTCCCTTCCTCCTCTAATACAGGACAGGTACCTGAGAGCTCTCAAACATGTTTCAAGCATTAGAAAACTGCAAAACTCTAATGGAAACTGGAAAAGCACCTCAGTGTCCTCCTGAAACTTTCCCTGTTAGGAGTTGTGTGTGATGCAAGGAACTTGCAGAGGATTCTCTGTTAAGGTCTGCCTGGGGAAGTCACTCACAGGAGACAAAAGTAAGACCTAAGGTGACAAATGTAAGGCTTAATGTGTGAAGGTGCAAAAGTTAAGCTCAGGATGCTCTCAAAGCAGTCTCTGCAAACAACAACACGGTTTAAAACCCAACCTGAACACTTCCCATACTCTGAGTGGACAAACTCAGAGTCCAACAAATAAAAACAAAAACTGCATGCACATTAAAATACTTCTAAGTTTGCCTGTTACAAAAACCAGAGACTTAGCAATTACGATGTTTTTCCTGTTCACAGGGAGCCACCAAGACGCAGGGCTAGCCTGGGAAGGTTTCTGTGTACATTTATCTATTTTTTCAAGAACAGTAACAAAATTCACCAAGGTGAGGGTAACTTTTAAAACAAATGGTTGGGGGAAACATCTGGTAACCATGGACAGTTCCACATATTCAAACATTACAGAAACACATTATGCAAAAAAAGCCAAGTGTAGAGTTCTGCCATCAGGTCCAGAGCATGTCTGTCTTCTGCAGGAGCTCTCCCATCCAAACCAGGGAGATGCTTACTGCTGGGGCAAAACTAGATTCCTAGGGGAGGGACTAATACTCCCGAGTTCTGGAAAGGACAAGATACAATTTTTGCATGAGATTGTAATATACGTTATGAAATAATACCTGCTTATGTGAAATATATGTATGCAATAAATGGTGCTTGTACGAAAAATCCTTAAAGTTTTAAACCACAAGCCGAAGCTGCAAAACCACAGATGGCAGCAAGCAGAAAGACCTCATTTACAAATGAAAATGTGGCTGTGTGTGAAACTCTCCTTTCCTGGACCATCAAGGAGATCCCAGTGATGAATACACAGGAGATATCTACAATCTAGATAGTCAGAGTGTCAGGAGCATGCATCTCAATACCAGGTTCCCTTAACTCAAGATCAGCATTCATCACTTCCCAGAAGTGGCTTTTGTACAGCCCAACACAGAGAAAAGGAGACCTCATGAATAAGTATAGGAGCACCTCTGCCCCAGACAGAAAAAACTGTATAAAAACTGACTGGACAGAGACAGCATTTGTGAACAGAGGAGATCTGATGCTGAAGAGGTCGTACCTGTGTTCACCCAGCTCAGCACTGCCTTTCTGATTGTGGCTATCCACGACTGAATCTCAGTTGCAAAATAAAAACCTATTTTATTAATTATTAATTTGGCTTGCTCATTTTTACCTATAACAAGATGGACAAATATACAACAACTTCTCCAATCCCCCAAGGGACAGTGGCCTCTGCAGAGGCAGAACTTGTCCCCTTGGCAACAGAGCTTGTCTACAACTGACATTTCAGTTTGGTTTGCCAGACTCAGCCCAACACTGGCAATTGCAGAGTCCTGGCTGTGCAGGACCTGTGTCTGCAGTGCCCTGAGAGCAGCAGGTTCAGTTGCTCTCAGTGGCAACCAGGAGAATCATTCCTCAAAGGATCTTTAAGCTGTTGCTTTGCTGCTAAAGGCAAATAAAAATCTTTGATTTCAGCATTAGACGCTTCCCCATGGGGAGCTCCTTCTCTCCCTCCCCTAGATGGAATTTGATAGCTTCTTCTCCCAGTGGTGCTGTTTAAGGACTCTGTTTCATCTCAGCTCTGACTTAGGGGTGGCTGACAGCTCAAAGCAAAGGAACAATTTGGTTTAAGTCAGGGGCAGGGCTGGGGGTGAAGGGGGATAATGGGGATGCTGTGGAACAGTGTGTTTAGAGAGGCAGAGCCAACGTGGCCAGGAAGCAGCTCTGCCTAACCTGGGCCACAGGAACGGAGCAAGGAAAGAACAGAGAGGATGCCTCAAAGGAAGGACACAGAGGATGATCCCAGCAGCAGATTCCCTCAGAAGCTGCTCTCAAGAAGCAGCTGTTCCATACAACCCTCCTGTTCATGCAGTGACAGCCATGAAGTGCTGCTACAGCCAGAGATTTCAGGAACTGTCCCCAGCTGTGGCCTGGGTGCCTCAGCCCATGCTCAGTACTCACAGGCCTGCAGACAGGTTGTACGGGAGGGTCTCAGGGGGCCGCATCCTTGAGGGCAAGGAGTTGTTCTTGTCACTGATGGTGCTGGAATTAAGTGACTTTGGTTACTTGTGGCAAATGCACTGGCTCACATTTATGCATTTTACTGCAGCAAGGCCCTGGGGGATGGTGCTGTGCCACCATTCTGGTGGTGCTGAGGAGAACTGGATGTGCTCTGAACACTCAAAGGTTTTGTAAAGAGTCTGACAGGTGGAACCAGGCAGTGCTGCTGTCAGCCCCTATGGAAGAGCTCACACAGAACTCAGAGCTGCCAGGGACAGGATTATTGCTGGACTGTAAATGAACCTGTTAAATAAACCTTCAAACACCTTGGGCAGCTCTGGTGGTGCCACCACATCCCCTAGCCAGCCAGGGCAGCCCCTTCCTGTTCACAGCTGGGCACTGAGCTCCTTGCTCCCCCTGCCCCAAACTCTGACCACTCTTTGGAAAGGGCACAAGGGGAGGGTTCTGCTGACACAGGGCCCAACTTCAGCAGCTCTGCCAGGCCCCAGGAGCTCACAAGAAATCTCCCAAAGACTCAAAGGACCACCTTTCTCCCTGCACATTGCCCAGACATCCATCTGTTCCTGAACACAGGCCACAGGAGCTGTATCAGTGCTCCTGAGGGTTTCCTGCTCTTGTCCATATTTGTATAAACAAACACTGATGTAAAGAATCAAAATTGCATTCCCTACCTTTTCATGGCAGAGCTGATCACACCCCAAACAAAAGTAGACTCGGATCCTTCCAGCAAGTCTGTGAAAGAAAGCAGATGTTGTGATCCAGAACTAAGAAACCCCAGAAACCACCATCAGATCAGTACCTTAAATGGCTTCCCACTGCCAGAGGGCAGGGCTGGGTGGGATACTGGGAAGGAATTGTTCCCTGTGAGGGTGGGCAGGCCCTGGCACAGGGTGCCCAGAGCAGCTGTGGCTGCCCCATGGAATGAGATGAACTTTTAAGATGCCATCCAAACCAAACCATTCAGGGATTCTGTGATCAGCAATATCTCTGTCATATTTTTTACATATTCAAGAGAGAGGAAAAGTTGACCTATGAGGAATGTGTCTGCTTCACTGAGGAACATGTTTCCATTGCTATCACCACACATAAGGTACAAAATTATGGGAGGAACGGGATGCTTGGAAATCTCTTCCTGTGCTTGTTCTGGCAGGCTTTTTGGATTGCTCTCTATTGCAAGCCAAGCTTGCTGGGTGGAGAGATCAATGTTCATATGAAGGAGCATAAACAAAGTGCCCTACAAGGCAGCCCTGAGTGAACAGCACTCCTGGCCTCACACCGTCCCCAGAGGAGCCAGAGGACATGGCCAGGAAGAAGGCAGCAGATAGGCAAGTTCCTCACCTGTTTCCCAGTCTTCAGCACAAGGAGGTGCCTGCCATGTGCTCCCATTATTCAGCTGCTCCTGCGGGGACTCAAAGGACCGGCTCACTTCAGAAAGAGAGAAAACACAGTGACCAGCAGTCCTTAAATCCATTAAACACTTTGGCTCAAACTGCAGAACACCTCTGGGCTTTAGAGGAAGGCCCACCCAAAGCAAACAGTTTGGGGACAGCTGAAATGCAGCAACTTCAAATTTGCCTTTTTCAATGAAAAAGAGAAGACTGTGCTCCCTGGAATTCTGAGCAGGAATTCTGGAGTGAAGAGGAAGCCTGCTAACATGGATGCAGGCATCACTGCCTGCGCACCTCTACAGAAGATAGAAAACCATGTGCCCTATGGTGAGCAAGAGTTAAAGGGAGATCAGCTCTGCAAGAGGAGCAGCCCATCCTTGTGGCCATAAATGCATCCCACTCTTCCTTACAGAGGCACTTGCTACATGGTTTTGGGTAAAACCTTTGATTCAACAAGCCTGGTAACAAAATACATGCAAGACCTATCCAGAGCATCTGCCATATTCTCAAGAAACTGCCCAATGAAGCCAAGCACATGAGACCAACTTTCCCCAAAGTTGCTGTGTCACACACAACTACAGACAACCATTTGCCTACCACTCTTGGATTACTCCATGAGGACACCTCAGTCCCCAGGGTGCAGAGACAGCTGGGAGCACAGGGGGTCTCTTACCCACATCTTGCTCTACAAAGGCTTTGTCCTTGCACTTCATGATGTGGTCGCTGAGGTTGGCCCGAGGAACCAGGTGACGAGCGTTGAAAGGGCATGTGGCCAATTTCTTTGCAATTTCAGGGTTGCTCTGGAAAAGGGAAAACCAAAATTATGTGCCACATCTCACAAAGTCACTTACCTCTTGCTGATACATAGGGAAAAAAGACTGGGGTATTTGCAATGTATTGGTTAGACACTCACTAAATACAAAAAGGGAGATGAACATGACTTTTCTTACAAAAACATTTCACAGAAACTGAGCCATACTGACTGAAATGAAAAAGACTCTCAGCAAACTCCACACAGTTCCCTGCAGTGCTGGTGGTATGACTGCATGGCTTACAGCACAAATGAAACCATTTTAAAACCAGTAGGGGGGAGACATAATATCAAAGCAGTGTGACCCCCCCCTGTGTGGCGAATAACTCTATGCTGCAGAAGGCAGAATAATTTGCATTTATTAAGCTAAATTATATTACATCAATATATTTATATATATAATACTATACTAGAACTATATCATACTAAAAGGATACTAAAGAAAAACCCGTGACTGTCTCCAGACACAGCTTTGACCCAACTGGCCAATCAATCCAAACAACCATCACCGGTGTCCAATTAACAAATCACTCTTCAGTAAACAATCTCGGTAACACATTCCACATGTGCCAAACAACAGGCACAGCAAATAGAGATAAGATTTGTTTTCTTCTTTCTCTGAGCTTTCTCACTGTGTCTCACAATTTCCCAGGAAAAATCCTGGGAGAGAGAATCATGTAATCATGTCTCTCTCTGTTCAGAGAATGTGAATACCACATCAGGAAAATCTAAACCATTCAGAATTATTTTAACTAAGTGGGCACACAGGCAAAGATATTCTGTAAGCCTTTGAGAAGAGCCAGGGAGCTGGCAGCATTCCACCTGCATTTCCACTATGGCAGGCACCAGTTCTAGTGGTAGAGCTCAGCTGTCACTACAGTAAATGATCTGCAAGTGATAGAGAATTACTGGGAACACCCCAGCTCTGCCACTGGACCAGTGCTTGCCTGGCTCTGCTGGTCAGGGATTAGACTCACACCCAAGGCTGCTCCAGGCAGTTCTTCCTCCACCACTGCTGATCCCTGGCTTCAGCACACCCAAGGCCCTTGGCACTCCCTGCCTGGTACAGCCAGGGCTGCCATGTCCATAGGTGTCCATCACTGCTGTCACCTGGCATGAGCGAGTGGCTTCCAACTGCCAGAGGGCAGGGTTAGATGGGATACTGGTAAGGAATTCCTCCCTGTGAGGGTGGGGAGGCCCTGGCACAAGTTACCCAGAGCAGCTGTGGCTGCTCCTGGGATCTCTGGAAGTGTCCAAGGCCAGGCTGGACAGGGCTTGGAGCAACCTGGGGCAGCAGAAGGTGTCCCTGCCATTGTGGGGGTGGCACTGGATGAGCTTTAAGGTCCCTTCCCACCCAAACCATCCTGTGATTGCAGGATTCTTAAACAGTTCCAGCCAAGAAGATCTAACTTCTCTGCCCGCAGTGTCCCCGTTTGGGTCAGGACTGTGTTCTGCACAGAGCAATGGGAAACTGAGCTGGATGGAAGTGTTAATTGGATTTTATGCATAAAGCATGCAAAGGAAACCCAACAAATTTGTCCCAAGCAAGAGGGACAATCTTCACCCAGACCCTTGCCACTGCAAATAACACACTGTGGCATCTTCAGATGGACCAGTGACAATCCCCAAGCTCTTCTGCTAATTACTTAGACACTGGTTTTATCTGCTTGATGATCACTATCTCACCACATCCTAAAAGTGGAAAAATGAATACGGCCTCCCTGTGAGCTGCTGGAATAGACCAGAGTCTCCTCCCTGAACTAACCATGAAGGATCTCTGTCTCCTTCCAACAGAGCCAGACTGTGAATGGGTGAATTCCTGTGTGCCTGGAGCTCTCATTAAAAAAATCCTGAAATTATATGAAATAAAAATTAAACAGGGCTACACATCAGGAAAAGCAGAAGACAGGGAATATTTGCAAGCACAGTCACTCAGTCACTGCCTGTCCAGCTCACCTCCTTACACTTCACCAGGTGATACGGAAACCGCCGTGCTCTGATCCAGTGATGTTTAACCAAGGGGCACTGAATTAACCTCTCTGGATCCAACATATCTGGTGGAAAAGGTAAGAGCATCTGGTTAGGAAGATGAGAATCATTCACACAGTGCACTGGGGAAAGCCCCACACTACCACATCAAGGCTGTGGTCTGAGGGAGTTAAACCAGTTGTTCTTAGTTTGAAACCATTCATTACGGCAGGCACTTGCTTTGCATAACCAAATTAATTAAACCTGAAGTCCTCATAACTGGGACATTAGTTAAAACAGAGGAGAGTCAGCACCACTGAGCATAATAACTCTTTAGGTTATTAGAGAGCCAACCACCCTTACTCCAAGAGAAAGCCAGCAGCATTTCCCAGCTCTCCTGGAGGAGGATCAGTGGGATCACGTCACACCCACCAGCGCCTTCAGCAGCTGAAGCAAATGTTTTTTCCATCAACAGCTTGTTTTGCTGGAGGCAGAATGTGAGGGAACTGAGTTACTTTCTGGAGGCAGCAGTGTGCCTAACATGGTACATGAAACTCTGAATGAAGCTTTTAATCATGTAATTATTTAGGAGCTGAGGTGTTACTAAAGCAGCAAAAACACTGAGGAACAAACATATTGAACATGAAGCAGTGTGAATCAATGCATACATAATTGTCTATAAAATATAAATATTAATAAATATGCATATTCTCAGTGAGGAAGAGAAGCAGCCAGGAGGAGACACAAGGCCCCACTACTCCCTGTGGGTCTGTCTGTGGGTACACACCAAGGAGCCTGGGCTGCTCCCATACTTTCTGCTCTGCCACTCTTGCTGCAGGGGTTTTCAGCACATTTAGGATTTGATTATGCAGGAGCTAACCCAGCTCTGTGCACTGGCTGCTGCTGCTGCCTCTGCCCTCCTCTCTCACACATGTGGCTCCATCAGACCTCAGGCTGGCAGTTGTTAAAATGCTGTTCCAGAAGTCCCAAAGAACAGAATTCAGGCTAAGAGCCACTTGGAAAGAGAAGAGACAGACAGGACCCTTGTCTCCATCTGGGCTGTGCAGTGCTGCTGCCTCTGAGCACCTCTCACCTCAACAGCCTACTCAGGGAAATTAAGAGCACCTGGCTTTGCATTGGCCCAGCTGCCTCTGGAAGAGCAATCACAAGTGGCTTTGTCACTGAAAACGTTGTGAAAAATGAAACACTCTAATACTGTAAATTCAGTATTAGAAAGCAGCGTTTCTCTTTTTTGGCACCGGCTGCATGGGGGATGCTCCTCCAAACATTCCTCCCTTCTGAGGAGGGTTTTTTCTCCTTGAATGCATTCCAACTATGGGGTCTGGCCAAGATACACCCTTATCAGGCACACATTCTTTATTCTCACAGCTAAGATACACAGTAGTGCATGTTAACCACTGATATGTAAATACAGGATTAAGCACTATCTGTTTATGGTATTCACAAGACTAAACAGTATTTGGTAGAGATTTTTTCCAATAGCGTCTCTTTTTGAACTGGCGCCACACAGGATCAAGTGTGGTTCCAGTGAAGGGAACAGAGCGTCCAGCAGCACAGGAGCAGCTCAGGCAGCCAAGCAGCTGTAATTTTATACATGGCTGAAACTACCAAAGGCACCGGAACAATGCCACGTGCAGGGAGATCCTTGTACCTGTCCCTGTCCACGCTGCATTGAAACGGATCCCAAAACCTCCTGGACCACTGAGCCGGGAGACATGGGTGGCAGCCACGCTCGAACCGAACAAAGTCGCTTTATTCAGTGACATCCTGCAGGATGGACCTCACCCGCACCAGCCGCAGCGACCTGGGCTGCGATCACCGAGAGGGCCCGCGGGGTCCGCCCGGCTCGGGCACCGGGCGTGGGGACGGACCGGGCCGAGAGAGAACAGCCCAGCCCCGAGGGGAGAGACACACCCGGCCCGAGGGGAGAGACAAACCCGGCCCGAGGGGAGACGACAAACCCGGCCCGAGGGGGGACGACAAACCCGGCCCGAGGGGGGAGACAAACCCGGCCCCAGGGGAGAGACAAACCCGGCCCGAGGGGAGAGACAAACCCGGCCCGAGGGGAGAGACAAACCCGGCCCCAGGGCAGCGACAAACCCGGCCCAGGGGAGCAGACCCCAGTGGCGCGGGTGTGGTCCCCGCCCTGCCCGCACCATCGAGCGCTGTCCCGTCCCTCCCCAACCAAACTTCAAACCTCACCCAAGTCCTCCTCGAGCTCCATGGCAGGGGCGGCCGGGGTCCGCTCTGGGCCGGAGTGTAGGGTCAGCTGTGGGGCCGAGACCGCCTCGAGGCCGGCTGCGGGGGAGCGTGTGGAGACGTCTGTGGGGCCAAGTGCGCCTAGCCGCGGGGTTGGCTTGGGGCGGGTTTGGGGCCGGGCCGGTCTCGCCCTTCCCGCCCAGCCGCGGGGTTGGCTCGGGCTCGGGCTCGGGCTCGGGCTCGGGCTCGGGCTCGGGCTCGGCTGTGGGGCCGGGTCGGTCTCGCCCTTCCCCGCCCAGCCGCGGGGTTGGCTTGGGGCGGGTTTGGGGCCGGGCCGGTCCCGCCCTTCCCGCCCCGCCATCGAGGGCGGCCGGGCCGGGCCGGGCCGGGCCCGGAGCCGCCGCTGGGCCCCGGCCCCGACCCCAAACCCTGAAACCGCCCTGAGAGGTTGGGGAATGTTCAGCCGGAATAAACCCATGTAGATAGAAGAAGCTAGGCGTAGACTCATCCCGATGTTTTTGACTGGGATTGCTGCAGCCTTAAGCGCTGGTTATGAGCTGGCCACGGATAGTGAATTAAAATTATCGAGATTGGAAGAGACCTTTGATACAATCGAGGCCATCCAACTGTGACCCCTAAACCCCTAAACCTCATCACCCAGCACCAGGTCCTGGCACCTCCTGAACATCCCAGGGATGGTGGCTCCTTCCAGGGCCTGACCACCCTGATCTGGATCTCTCCTGTCTCAGCTCAAGGCCATTCCCCATCCTCTCACAGCACAAGAGACTGGCCCCACCTCACTGCAGCCTTTCAGGGAGGTGCAGAGAGTGACAAAATCACCCCTGAGCCTCCTTCCTGGCTAAACAAACCCATCTCCCTCAGCTGTGCTTCATAACTGTAATAGATGGGTGGTGTTGAGACTGGCTCTCACAGATGAGGAATAGATATTATGTGTGTTAAAAGAAGACATAAGACAACTTATTTTGGCTGGAATGGAGTTGATTTCGTCCGTAATTGCACAGTAGCTGGCAGAGTGCTGTGCTTTGACTTCAGTATGGGAAGAACACTGATAATATTGCTCACAAAAATTGCATTGATCACCTTGGTATGTGACAAGCCAATAATTACACTCCCTAGGGAGACATCGATTATGTCAGAGTTGCACAAGCATGGGTGCTTTGTGGAATTCCACAAATCGAGCATGCCAAATATAAAAACATTTTACTATTTATACATTTTAGCAAACAAATTAATTAGTGTTCATTGGCTACATGTAACATAGCTCTTTTATTAATTAGTATTCTGTCTTCTTAGTATTCATTAGTTGGCTAATGATTCTCTCATTTCTCATGCTAGTTAGTCCCCATGCTCAGTCTTTATCTTCTTCTGGGTCAGGGGCTTTCTTGGCTCAGTGGTCTGTGTGTTGGTAGCCGCAATCTGCCCCTGACAGAATTATCTTTCACCTGCTTGGAGCTGATTTTAACACAGTTGCTGAGTTGGCTTTGTTAGTTTCTTCTTTATCTTGGGAGTTCTGCCAGATGTCCTTGAAGGCTCTAAATTCTACATTCCTGGTGTCCACTATAATGGTTTTTCCTCCTTCACAAGCTTTGTTAACCTCTCCCTAGCTCTGAGGTCAATGAAGCATGTCCAGACTAAACCTTAACAAGGCAATTCCAGGAACAAGTTGTCTAACACCTGGATGTGACTTACAGTTCTCTGGCTGCTCTCTATTTCACAGATTAAATCTCTCTTCTTGTCGATTAGTCTTGAAAGTATACAAAGATCACACATCAAAGAACATAATTTCTTGAGAAAAATTAACATACTTCATATTTTGTAACAATAACACACTGATGGTTTGTGTGCTCAGTTGTGTTTACTGTGTGTCTGGGGCTGTTTCAGTCCCCTGGTGCACCTGAAGCCAGAGCAGGACGCTGCAGCCCCAGCAGAGACTGTACCTCTGTCAGCTCAGAATGTCTCCCTGCACTGACTTGGAGAAAAGACTCAGCAAGGTGTTAGAAGACTCCAGACCAAAATTTGGACCAAGGGGTGTGTGCCAGCACATGTGGCGGGCAGGTGCCCAAGTCACAGGAATATCATTGCCTGGGGATTTCTTTGCACCAGCTTGAGCTCACCTACTGCTCTATTAAATTATTTGCTTTTATAATTCTGATGCCTGAGACTCTGCTTTGGGAAACCAAGAATCTCAGGCCCATCATTCTGCCTCTGCTTCATAGCATCCCAGTATCATCAAAGTTGGAAAATCTCTCTGAGATCATCAGGTCCAGCTATTCCCTCAGCAGTGCCAAGGTCCCCAAGTACCACATCTACATGTTTTTTGAACATTTCCAGGAATAGTGACTCCAGCACTGCCATGGACAGCCTGTTCCAATGTCTTACCACCCTTTCAGTGAAGAATTTTTCCCAAATAGCCAACCTAAACCCCTCCTGGCACAACTTCAGACTGTTTTCATTCTGTCCCTTGTTCTCTTGGAGGAGAGCCTAAGCCCCACCTGGCTGCACCCTCGTGTCAGGGAGTTGTGGAGTCAGAAGGTCCCTCTGAGCCTCCTTTTCTCCAGGCTGAGCCCTCCCAGCTCCCTCAGCTTCTCCTCATTAGACTTGTCCTCCAGTTATTTCTTCTCCTCCCTGGACAATCCACACTCACAGCCCCCTTCTCCTTGGGGCTTTCAGAACTGACTTCAAATGAGGAGTTTCATATACATGTAAGCAAAGGCACTGCCCTTCAATCCCCTGATTTCCTTTAGGGGAAGAAGAGACACTAAAAGGTTTCCCACTGTTCTAGTTAGGAGTTACAGGCCAAGGTTTTTCTGGCAGTAGCCAGAAATTTGCCAAATTTAATTCCAGCAGGTGACTGAAGGCTTACCAGTGCTCTCTAATAGCAGCAAGAGCAGAATCATCTTAAGACACAAGAGATAGTGTATTTGTAGAATCAAAACTTTACATCAGGAGAGGAGTGTAGGCTTCTCTTGAGTGGAAATACTACAACACATTTCCAAGCACAGAGAAGCTGGCCTCTTCCAGTCCTGTCTGCAAAAATATGTAAAAAATTGTTTCCAGAAACCTAAGATGGACTAAATCTGTCAAAGCAGTGTGTCTTATACACATGATCTGCAGTGAAGTTTTACTCTTTTTCAAAGGCTGAAAAGGGCTCAGTACACTGTGCCATCTTTCCTATGGCAAATAATGAAGGCCTTCCATATGCCTCATGCAACCCAAACATTCCCAGAGGAACACCCTTCCTCCTGACTGTGTGTGTTTGGAGTGTCCACAGAGGCAGGGACCCTGCACGGAGAGTTAACAATCATTGTGTGAACAATCAATGCACAAACATCCCTGAAATACCCTCCCAGAACCACCCCTGGTCAACATGGCTCTGCTTGGGCACCTGGAGATCATACCTGTAGGGTAAAGTATGTCACAGAGGCATGGGCTGGGATGCAACAAAAATTTAATAAATCAGAAGAGATAAACAGGTCAATCCAAAAGAGGAATCCAGTGCAGAAAGCACCAGGGGACAGATCAGAGTTTGGTTCTATGGCTGTGGCAGGGATCCCAGCAGG